GGGTTTAATATTTTTCCTAGAACTTTTTTTTTTTTTTTTTTTTTTTTTTTTTTTTTTTTTTTTTCCCCCCAAAAAAAAAAAAAAAAAAAAAAAAAAAAGGCAGTGGGGAAAGCAACCTGTGTTTGAAAGCATCAGATTCTGGCCCAAGCACTGCCAGCACAGCAAGGTGTGTGACGGGACCCAAAAGCGCTGCCATCAGGAGGGGCTCGTTGCAAAAGCTGCTGCTCCTGCCCCGCAGCCTACAGCCAAGATACAGCCCTGTATCTGTACCTGTAGAAAAACCTACCTCAGGAGGCACATGATGGCCCCTGACTTCTCCAAGGCTGACAGTGGTCGCTAGAAGAGCGAGAATGGTGAGGGGGTTTTATAGTATTTTGGGGGTTGCACAACATCAGCGGGGATGGGGCTGGTGAGACCACCTGGACCAGCTTGCACAGCCAGAAGCAATGTGGAGTAAGGGCTTCGTCCCTCTGATTTCATCCCGTCCTCGGTGTTCGTGAGCTCCCGGTGCTCTCAGCATGGGCTGGGCAATCGGTACCTCTGGTTTCTCGCCCTGAGAAAGCCACCTGTGGTACCAGGAGGGTTTATTTACCTGCTCTGTGCCTTGTGACCTCCTTCCTGAGGGAAAATGGGCAGGAGGCTTCCTGAAGCAGCTGGTAAAAGGCTCTTAGATGGGGAGAATGTTTAGGAAAGGCAAACATGGTGAGAGCTGGCTGCCAGGAAGGGAACTGTGACCATCCCATGGCCCTGGCCTGAGCAGTAAAAGGACTCTCCAGGCAATACAGAATGCAAACACAGCCCTCCCCCTCCCCTTGCCAATCTCCTAATCAGAGAAGGAGATAAAACAGGGCCTGCAGACAAATGCTCAGGCTGTCTCCTACCCACACGCCGATCTGAGCACATGGAGCCCCCCCCCAGCTCCAGCCAAAACCCCCTTGGCTATCGCTAAGTCCCTCTTGGCTAGAAAATGGCTCTGTCATCTTCCCACTAATCCAGTTCCCATACAAACAGGCAACCTCCTTCCTTCCCTGCCACCGCTTATCCCCTCCGTCTCCTGTCCTCCCCCTCTCCCTTTTCACCCCAAACTGTATCAAATGCATCAAAGCCCGAGTGAATTATGTTCCCTTTGACCTGCTGGCAGCAAGTTCAGCCACAGTACATTAAAAGAGCAGAGGCTGAGGTTTCATGGTCAGTGAAGGGAGAGGTGGAGGAGGAACTGCAGGCCTTGTCACCGTGTTTCTTTTGCCTTTAGAAGCAGCATTTTCAGCCAAGTTCAGAGGCGCTCGTGGCTGAGGTTTGGGGATCAGCATATGGGGAAGGGGAGGTCAGCAGTGAGGCTGGAAGGTGATTACTGAGCAGCCCCTGCAGCCGCCCGCCTGTCCCGGCCGGGTGGTCTGATCCAGCGCTGTGGTTGCCATCGCCTCCCACTAGCCATCTCTGGAGATAACGGGCTGGATGGAGGTCGCAGGGGCCCACGGGAGGTGGCAAGGGCAGGAGAAGCCAAACAGCCAGGCCGGTCGAATCTCTGAACACCCCTGTGTGGGTGCTCACTCACCTGCTGGGGTCTGCAGCCCATGCTGGGATGATCATGACCTCCCAAAACTCTCCCCTTGTTGACTGATTTCCACAGGCACAGTTGATGCTTCAAGTTCTTTACACTACATGCACAACCTGAGCAACTTCACGTGGTTTTGGGCTTGGTTGCAAAAGATGTTCGTACCTTTGCTGACGACAGCTGCGTGGCTTACTGCAGGGAGGAGACCTGGAGCAGGAGAGGCTCAGCAGTTGTGGAGGTGCTTTGAGGAAGCATGGCAGTCTCAAGCTGCACCAGTGCTCCCAGTTTTCTGCCTGGTGTCCCTGATGCTGTGATGGAGAGGGTGTGCAGCATCAGTGCAAGCCTTAGTGGCCAAAACTTCAGCACTCTGTGCACAGGCACCCATGTCGAGAAAGGGGATGAAACTGGAGAAAAGTGGCTGCAGCATCTCTGGCTCTTACACTTTGGCTCCAAACAGGATGATGGACCTAAACCAATGCTAAAACACGCCGTTGTCCTTAGAGAAACAGAGGTGTACAGGGACTGGCTGTCATCTCACAGCACTGAGGCAGTTCGTGCTCTTGCATCTTGGCTGCGGGGCTGCTTCTGCCGTGGCTCTGGGTGTCGTGCAGTTTGGAGCACCCTCCTCTGAAACTGCTGCGACGGCCATGCCAATCCCCAAAGAGGCGGCATCGAATCTGGAGCCTGTGAAGCCACTGCCAGCAAAATAAATATTCGGGAATATTTTTAGCCTGCTCTTGCTCAGAGAGAATTTCTTTGTGTCCTTCTGAGGAGCTCGCCGGATCTTTCATCGGTTTGTTTTTCTCATTAGCCGGCATAAGCTTTGTTCTTATTTAATAAAGATTAGGATCTGCTGCCTCCAGCCCTCTCTTTTTGCTCCTCCGTCAGGCCCGTGGGGGCTTAGGCTGCAGCGACATGTTTGATGTCGGGCCGCGGAAGTTGAAATGCGGGACAGAAGCTGGCCGGGCTCTCGTGTTCGCTTCCCCAAAAGATCCCCGTCCTGCGCCGCTTCTCTCTGTCCCACCACCCTCCACAGAGAGCTGCCCCACGCGGGGAGAGGGGAAAGGGACAGGACAGAGTGATTGGAAACCGCTGCCAGGATCATCCAGAGGTTTCCAGGCTCGGCTGGCTTGAAGCACTGCAAAGGTCTTGGTCTGAGCCACCAACACACAGCGTGGGGGAAAACGGGATGGCTGATACAGATGACTGTAGCCTGTGCATGAGCCTAAAAAAATAGGAGACTTGCCATAAATGGGGGAATGGCTTCTTCCAGCTTTGGAGGTCAGAGATGTGTAATGGATCTCCCATCCCTTTCTATATCATTGGATTCTCCTCGTTAGCCAAAATAAATCAAATAACTGCTTTTCTTTCTTGAGCTTGAATCATTCCTGGGAAAGAAATGGGTTTAAAATGACAACAGGTATGGAACCAGAAGGAATTTTATAAACTTGCAGAAGGGGTCTTTGGAGCTTTGAAAGTCTGATCTCTGCTGACAGCCACCACCACTGCGTGCTGCTCTGGTAGGAGCATCACCACATCCAGCCTGGAGAAGGGCTACTGCATGCCAGCGTGGCTGGCTGTGCAGCACTGCTGAGGCACATCCCTGGGACAGGGATGGCGAGGGGACGAGGGGGGCTGAGTTGTGCCTGTGATGAAGACTGGACCTGTATCTCAAATCAAGCCCCTGCATGTTACTTCTCAGTTATTGTCTCCATTGCCAACTGTATGGACCAGCCAGGTTATTGCTCTGCACCTCAATTTAGCCATCCCTGGAGCAAGAGTATATTTACCTTGCAAGAAATGCTGCGGTTATTTAATTGTGGTAACATATATAATTAGGTCTATACAGGTCCAGTGCTATTAACATGGCTATATGTGAATGCTCTTTTTTCTTAGAGATTTTTGTTTAAAAAAAAACAAACCAAAAACAACCTTTAAGCACTCAGACACTTGGTAAGAGGGCTCCCATTTCTAGCAGGAGGGCCCGTTTTGCATATGCGTAACTTCGAAGGGGATGAATAACTTCATGGCCAATAACGTTTATAGCTTTGCCTCGCGCGGGGAGATAAGGGCAGAGGAACGCAGGGCTGCGGGGCAGGAGCTGTTTGCTGAGAGGGGCCGGGAAGGAATCCAGTCCCCACCCTGCCCGAGCCTTACCTGCGCCCAGGTGCGCGCCGGCCGCGGCGCCGATCCCCGCCGGCCCAGCACCCGCCGCCGCGAAGGGCTGGATACCAAACCTCCTAGCTCACTGCGGCATAGCTGGAAGGGGAGGAGGAAAGGCGGGGGGACAGAGGAGGAACAGCAGGGAAGGCGAAATTTTAGAAATACTTCTTGAACAGCCGCAGTTGTAAATGAACTCACCCCTCGCCATGTTTGTGTCACTTGTGTTCGCTGCCTGGGGCTGTGTGAGAGCACAAGTTTTCCTGGCACGGCCGCGCTTGGAAAATCAGCTTCCAATCCATATATGATAGTATTCATGGAAACCACAATTCTAATTTACATGCGCTGATTTTACTGCCAGAAACCGTGCTGCCGTCCAACCCGGGGATAAAAATGCCGCCCTGTGACTTCCCTGCCCAATCACGACCAACCAATGCACTTCAAAACTCAAATATTTTCCAGGGAATGTTTGCAACCCACAGTTTAAAAAAAGAAAATCTTCCCCAAATTCATGTGGTGGCTCAGCATCATGGCTGCATTCAGGGAGGTTTCCTTATAGGTATTTCCCAAGGCAGATATCTACCCCCACGAAGGAAAAACAAACACACCCTTGAGAACTAAATCTTTCAGATACACAATTTCTTAAAGTTTCTTCATTCAAAATTTCTCCCTTGCTTTCTCAAGTGCTTCACACCATGCTATGGAGATGTACTCACAGGTCGCAAATGCACAGGGAGGAACCTGGCCTTTTTAAACCCCTTCTGCCCTGGTTAAAACCAGGGAGAGCTTCTCCTTCCTCTCCCCATGCTGAGCTCGGCACAGGGACCTGCTTCCTCCACTCCAGCCACTGCCATGCTCGGTGCAATGGAGCAAAGGTTGGGGAGGTGGAGAGAGAGAGCCCTTAACAAAGATAAAATCTATTTCTAATGTCTATAAAAACCAAACCCAAATTCCCAGTTACTTCAACGTGAGCTGTGGAGATGGAGGAATGGAGAATGGAGTTATTTATTAATAGAAGGGCATTTCAATAGAGATCGGAGGCAGTGATAGAGACCAAATGGAGGCATTTACAGAAATAATGCTCAGGAGGTTTTACCCAGCTTGGCCAGGTGTCTCAACACCGTGTCCTCGGGAAAGTTGCCTCCTGTTCCATGAAAAGGGTGCTTTTGGGGAGCTGCATGCTCACAGAGCCCATCACTCAGCCCATTTCCCCCAGACCCAGCTGTCATTTTCATGTGGAACTGGAGCCAGAAGAGCAAACAGAGTGGGGATATTTGTCTGGGGGTCCTGTTCTCATTGGGTTTTTTGGGAAGAGGTGTGATGCTGATCCACCACCCAGCTCAGACTCTCCCTCCCTGTGCCCAGCCCAGTGCAGAGGGGAGTCGCAGCCCCCTCCGGCCCCCTCCCCACCTTCCCTCCTGGCTGTGGCTTTAAACCTCCAAGGCCAGGAGCCTTAAAAATTGCATGAGACCCCACTCCGATTCCTACCACCACCTCCTGCAAAATCCACCTCCCTAAATTCCTTGCCGGCTCCTTCTCGACAAACACCTCTGCCCTCGCTTGGCAAGCGAACAGCGCCGAAATTCCCACCTGCCTCTCCCTCGCAGCCCCTTCTGGAAGGGGACTCATTAACCATGCAAATCAAAAAACGCTCTCTCCGAGAGCCCCACGGCCCATTTCCACCCTCCCCTTTCCCAACACCGACAAGGAATGACAATTCACGGGGGGTCTTCAGGGAGCCGGGGCGAGGGAGGGAGGGCCGCGGCGGCGGCGTGGCTGCCTGTGGCAATCAAGCTTTCCCACTGCCACCCGTCCCCGGGGAGCGTCCCCGCTCCGGTTGTGGAGAAGCAGCGGCGTCTCTCCCTCCACCTTGTTAATCCCTTTTCGCTCTGCTCCCGCGCTCGGCTCCCCACCCCGCAAAATCCCCCGGGAGCCCTGGGAAAGCAGCGCCCGCTCCTCGCTGCCCCTTTCTCCCCTCTGCCTCCCTGCAAAGCGGCGCGGGGAAGGGGAGGGAGGAGAAGGGGAAATGGGGCCTTTCCTTAATTGATTTTGGTGAAAAAGGCAGGCAGCCGCTGCACTGTCAAATTAATTAGTTCCAGAGCTATTTGCAGTTATGAGCCACGTAAGATTAGTGGTCATTGCGTTTTGGTGCTAGGGAGTGGTGTGGGGAAGAAGGTTTTATAAGCCCTTCTTTTTTTTTGCTTTTGTAGCCTTCCTTAAAAACACAGAAGAAAATAAAGGAGAGAACCCCCCTGGCTGCCAGTGTTGCCCCCCAGGCTGGCTCCTGCACAGCACAGGGGATGGGGGCAAAATGGCTGGTTTGGCCCATCCGGCATAATCTGCCCCACGCTGAACAAAGCAGGTGCTTTGCTGCAGCTCTGCCCAGGCTCTCTCCTCCTGGCAAGGGCTGGTGGGGTCCTCAGGGTCACCCTGCTGCCATCCCCACTGATGCGTGGCCACAACAGCAGCTCCCTCATCCCCACCGAGGTGTGAAGCTGGGCGGCCAGACGTGCCGGGTATCACCTCCGGGGACGCTTGGCCCCTTTTGTCCCCTCTTGCCCTCCCTCCTCTGAGAGGCAAAGCGGGCTGAAGGCTGGAGGAGAGGCTTTGAAAGCCCCGGGTGCAGCCCACGGGGCTCAGATCCCAGATTAGATGGGAACGCCTGCTGCAACCTGATAACAGAGCAGCATCTGACGGGGAGGCTCCGGCAGCGCTCCCCGAGTCGAGCAGCGCCTATTGTTTCAGGAGATATTACCCCGCACACATGCTTACATCTGGATATCGATAAGCGTGCCTGTTTAGGCATAAACACAGAACAACATGCAGCCACATACCTCTGCATTCCTCCTCCCCTCCCTCCTTTCCCTTTTTTTTTTTTTCCTCCCCCTTATTCCTTTATCTCCTTTTCATCTGCTCTTGCCTGTTAA